CAAAAATTAGGGCAAGGTCCGCTAGGAGACCCAAAAACAAAAAGGGTAGCATAGGAAAAAGTGAGGATCAAAAAAAGAAAATTTATAAAAAGGAAGACATCTCAATTAACCTAGGCAAAAGTTAGGACAAAGCAGCATCCCGAGCTGAAAACCGAAAGGCGGCTTAGGAAGATCATTTAATCAAATATACAATCCCAAGTCATCGCTTAACTTTGAAGGAAATAATAAGCTAACGCGGAAAATGATTTCCTCACTTTGAATGTGCTTGTTCATCAACCTAAACCACTAGCCTACCTCAGCCAGCCATTCTTCTATAAACCATTTTTGAAAAAAAAATCTTTTCTAACAAAACTTTTACAAAAAAAATATATGTATATATTCCCTTCCTCTCTTTCCTCTTAACCTATATGACATTAAGATAAATTTGAGAAATACACGAAATATGCACAATGAACACTCACAAGGAAAAGTTGGTGTCCTAGAATAGAGTCTGGGTACACCTGATCTAAGGGCTAACATATCACATCCGGTACAAGCGAGAAGGTTGAACTACACAAACCTTCAGGTTCAAGAAGCAACACTGAATTCAACAGGGCTAAAGGCTTACAATCCATGTCATTCATCAATGCGCATAGATTAATTTCTTGAAAGTAAGAATAAATTTTCATTTTAAGTATTAGCATAGAAGCATCATTGCATAACATGCATATGGCCCAAGTGTTCCTAAAAGGGTATAAGCTCAAAAAAAAAAAATTTGAAAAAAAAAACCAATCCATTCCTACTTTGCATTTTTGCATTCTTTGTGTGTGTCTATCCATCACTTGCTGGAGGAATCAAGAGGTCGATACACTCGTAAAAAAAGATCAACAACTATATAGTGCCTTAAGATCCGAGATCATGTCAAAAAGCACAGCCCCAACAAGGGCACTCCATACAAGTGGTTTCATATAGCCACCAAGAAAAAAAAGACACATCAACAGCAAGACGGGATAGAACCAGAGTCAACCGAATAAGCAAGCCCATAAGCCTGAAGAGGCCATCACGCCCTAATGAATTAATTTGTACTACTTTTACTGATAACATGCATTAGCTTTTCTGTAGCCCATTTCATTAGAACTCCACAATTAAGCGTGCTTGAGCTGGAGTAGTACAAGGATGGGTGACCTTCTGGGAAGTCTCCCAGAAAATGTCCAGTAAGGACAACACACGTTAAAAAGTGAAGTGTCATGAAATAGCATCCTTGAGAGGTCAAATATGAGGGTTGTTACATTAATAAATTTATTAAAATTTTAAAAAAAATTCGTAGGTAACGTTACCTATGGAATTTTCCGTAGGTAACGTTACCTACAAAAAATTCTGTAGGTAACGTTACCTACGGAATTTTTCGTAGGTAAATTCTGTAGGTAACGTTACTTATGGAAAATTTCTGTAGGTAACGTTATCTACGAGCTTATTTCCTACGAATTTTTTTTCGTAGGTAATCCGTAGATAATGCTGATTTTTCTTGTAGTGAATACTAGTGCTATCAATCTATCTAAGAATCTAGTTCTTCATTCTAGAACCAAACACATTTAGATAAGATATCATTTTCTTAGGGATCATGTTCAAAAAAGAGATTGTGTTCTAGAATTTGTTGAAACAAAGAATTAATTAGCTAATATATTCAACAAAGCCCTTACCAAAAGAAAACTTATTTTCAATTAGACAAGAATTGGGGATTCTAGACTCCTCTCACATTAACTTTTGACACTATATTAAAAGGACACAATTTTAAGGTTAGTAGTTGATTACTACAGATAGTAATCGATTACCAGGGGAATATTTAAAAAAAAATTCAAAATTTTAAGCTATTGTAATCGATTACATGATTATGTAATCGATTACTAGGGGCTATTTGCTCGTTCTGTAAAAACTTGTAATCGATTACAACACAATGTAATCGATTACCAGAATGTGTTTGCACTTATCTGGGAAAAAGAGAAATCGATTACCATGAAATATAATCGATTACCAGAAACAAAATGCACGAATCTAGAAAACGTGCAATCGATTACCATATATATGTAATCAATTACACGACGTTTGCACTTAAAATTCAAAACCCTTTCTTTCTCTCTCACTCTGCGCAGCTCAAAGGTCTCACCTTTTCTCTCTTCCGTCAAAACCCCAACAAACTTCAAATCATCATATATTTCTCTTCTTTTATCAGAATCAAGTCCCGTTTCTTGCGTTGTTTATCATTCTCAATTCTCTTCACTTCTACCGATTCTATTTTTCAAAACATTCATTCAATGGCGGAATCATCAAAACGCCATAAGGCTTGGTCATCCCGTTCAACCACCGCCGATTGCCAACGACGGAATCCCTCCGAAGACCCCTCTGCTCCTACGAATCCAATTTCGTACTCTGGACACGCCCTCTCTCTGTTCTCCATGGATGAACAACGAGATAGTTACTTCCAGTTATTTTCAGAGCACAATATTGTTGATCCCAAGTATATAAGTATAGATTTTTTTGAGGATGAGTCATTTGAGTGTTATACAATTTTTTAAAATTCTGGGTTGCTGAATTTTATGTCTCTAAAGAACCCTATTTATCCAGAATTAGTCAGGGTCTTTTACAGTAATTTGGAAATCAGGAATGGGGTTATTCATAGTGAGGTTAAGAAAATTCCAATAGTAATAGATCAGTCTCTGTTCTGTAATCTATCAAAATTAAGTGATCAGGGTACACTGTTTAAAGGAACAATTCCTTATACATGGAAACCAGAATATTCCCATCCCAATGCCCGTAGTATGATTTGTGTGGATGATGCTGACATGTCTGGACATTCATTGGCTGGATCCATAAAATTTGATTATCGCATCATGCACTATATAATTGTTCCGATATTGCTTCCCCATACCACTAACCTTGCACAGGCAACTGAGGAAGACTTAATCTTGATATGGGCTCTAATAACTGGTCGAGAGTTTAGCTGGGCTCATTTGATTAGGAGTCATATGAATAAGGCCTTGCGGGTTAATGCTTTTGTTCCTTATCCATAATTTATCACTACTATTTTGGAACATTTTAATGTTCCTATGGATGATGAAACATGGGTTCCAGCTAAGAGGTTCTTTGAGATTGGGGCCACTGCGATTGCTTCTTTTGGATACAAGAAGACACTAGAAAACACCTGGGTCAGGAAGCGGGATTTTCAAGCAGTTGATCCTGATGATAGAACTCCCTCACCACCTCCTCAGGATTCTTCATCATTACGTCTCTCAGATGTTCTCAATGAAATTAGAAATCTTCGTTTCTATGTTGGTGAACGGTTTGATTCCCTTGACACTCGCATTACTCGTCTTGAGGATGAAGTAAAATCTCTTCGCCGACCTTCCGAGTAGCTAGTTGACTATGGTTCTGATAGTTTTCTTTTAATTTACCTTATGTTTTAGGTTACTCTTAGTCAATTTTTGAACTCTTGGTTTTAAGTGTGTTCTAGGATTTTCTGCATGTTTGACTCTAACTACTTTGCTATTGGGACATATTTGTTTTTCACTTCTACTCTTAATGGTGTTTGTTATCTAATTCTATATTTATGTTGTCACATTCTTTTTGATGTTGCCAAAGGGGGAGAGGAAGGGGAAAGAAGAAAAAAAACGAGGGAAAAGAAACAATCATTTTTTAAATATACCAATTTTTTTCTCTTGGTTTCTATGATAAAAAAAAAATTGGTTTTTATGGTTAGAACAATATGGCTTGATCACTACAAATTTTTATTTAAATACAGACAATGCTTTATCTAAGGGAGAGACAAAGGGGGAGTGATTGAAATGTATTGTTTTATTTTCTTTCCCTTTACAGTTAATTATCATCATCAAAAAGGGGGAGAATGTGGAAGAACATCTGCATAACGTTTTGATGATGTCAAAGCATTGAAGAAGATAAGAGTTCAAGTTAAAGCAAGTTGATCAAGAAACACTACTACAAGATGCATATTCTACATCGGTTCTCTAAACCCTAAACCCTAAACCCTAAACCCTAAACCCTAAACCCTAAACCCTAAACCCTAAACCCTATGTAGAATAGAGTAACGTAGAAAATGTATACATTTTTACATCGGTTCTGAAATAGAGAACCGATGTAGATTTATGCATAAATCTACATCGATTTTTCTGAGAACCGATGTAGATTTATTTATAAATTTACATCGGTTGTTAGGAAAATCGATGTAGATTCATACATAAATCTACATCGGTTCTTTAGAAAACCGATGTAGATTGCTTTTTTTAAATAAAAAAAAAATTATGCTTGTTTTTAGATTCTTTCTATAATGATATTACCTATAGGGTATACTTTGTTTCCCATAAATAAGATATATGTGCCTATAAACTATATATAGTTATTAATTATTACATTGTGATTTTCAACAATTTGCATAAAGAAAAAAATACAACACTTCAACCAACAATTTTCAGTTTAAAAACTAGTTCTATATATAATTTTTAGTTCTACCCAGCATATCAAATATTCACTTATATGCATCAGTGGTAAATAGAACCATAACATTAAGAAGGAATGCAACATTCAATGTAAAAATAATGTTAGATACCTTTTAGTTGTCAATCTGTTTGTAATTAAAATTAGTTTGTTAGTTAATTTCTTATATCTATTTGTCCTTTGGGCTGAGTTAAAAAGAATCAAGGCAGATTGGCTAAATAAGAGAAGTGGAAAGAGAGCAGTATCATGTCATTTGTGAGAGAATTGGAGCCTTTGGACCCTAGGAATGCAGAGCTTTGAAGTTCTACAAATTAGGCACTATATTCGAGGGAGTAATCCCTTATTCTTCGATCATATAATGAGATATTTTCAGTCAGTACAGTTTGCAAGGTTGTTTGAGAAAACATAATCTAAGCTACCTATTGTCCTGTTTTGGGAAACTAGAAGTACAAATCCCAACCAGATAGAGAACACAACAAGACTACATATTATATGACCATGGAACCACAGGGAGCTAACATTCATATTACCTACAACATCTCAACAAGAAAAATGATGCGCTCAACATGCTTGCGGAAAGTAAGGAAGCCTTGAATGCATAAAACCTGAAACGTAGAGAACAAAGCAATATATCCTATTAATTTGAGATAACAATAACATATATCATAGGAGAATTGGAAAGGTGCACTTTCATCAAGAAGCTCACGTGTTAATTTGAAAGGTGTACTTTCAAAGTTAGCACCACCAGGTGAATTGGAAAGCATGAAACCAAAATCAATATGTATGATATGACCTTCTTCATCCAATAGGAGGTTCCCATTATGCCTATCCTTCACCTGGATGACAATGAAAAATAGAAATGGGAAGAACAAAAAGCATTCAAAAATAATAAACAGCAAAAAGTAGCACACCAGGGAATATCCTGCCATACTTTCAACAAAGTTTCTCTGAAACAAAATAAAATTATCAAAGTAAAACTGAATAATAGAAATGAAATTGTCTCCATTTTAAACATAAAACCTAGGTGTTTTACATCACACAAGTTAAAATTAACAAAATTATTAAACAAACGGCTTCAAAAAGTAAATAATACCTATAAATTTAAACTGTGAAACAAATGGCACTAAAAAGTTATGCCAGATTAAAGGAAAAGGACAAAGGGAAAGTGAGGAGAAAACAAAGTACATTGATAAAAGCAAAATCAACTCTAGTGCATCCCAGAAAGGGATGTTGAGAAGCAGAACCTAAAAGAAAACCATTACTCAACAAAATGTTGTATAAGTTAATTTTTTGAAGTACTTAAACACCATATATTATCTAATATTGAATTTGTAAGTATATATTTTAATATTTTATCCAATATACATTGCCACTTGTTCATCTTAATGCTAGATAACTCTGTTCCTTCGGTCACAACCATCACATACAGAAAACCAACAGGATTTCACAACCTTTTGTGCTCACAAAGGCAAATCCATGTCCTAGTTTCAGTTTCATTCCAGTAGCCAACCCTTGTTTCGGCAAGTTCCAACCAAGCTACAACTATTTGGCACTCTCTGCCTTGTGTCTTGGCAAGTCCAATCAGCCCACAGCCACACACCTGTTTCGTGCAGCTTTTTGTCATGATATTTTTACAAGTTCATAAGAAAGCTCTTTGTGACAATATTTATAGTCCAACACAATTGGTATTTTTACAAGTTCATAAGAAAGCGATCACATATTTCATTGGAGAGAATAAGTTAGTAATTTAATTATGGTCTATTGGTCTTTTTATGGTCTATTGGTCTTTTTCCCAGTATACAGGAATTTGATCCTAAAATAAAAAAATGATAAATTAAACATAGACTTAATAAGTGTTTAAAATGGAATAAATTCTTGCATTTAAATATACATGATGATAAACATTATACAACTATATTAAAACTGTTTTTAATAAATTCAAAGAGACCTGAGACTAAAATTTGAAATTTGGAAACATGTTTGTGGTAGTAGCAACCAATAAGATGATGGTTAATTAGAAATCCTAAAGTGAAGTTTAGATATGCAAGGGAGTTGTTAAGGGGATGAGGCCCATAAAGGTTGTTCAATGAGCGTGATTAGAGATGAAATAATTCTAATGAACATACACTTTCCAAAAGGGCGTTGGATGTTGGCATGATAAATATAATTCACATGCGAGCATAACATGAAAACCATGCTTTACTATTGACTATGGAGTCATATTATTTTTATATTCTAATATAGTTCACAAGACTATTTGTTAACTCCTCAAATGCACGTGTATAAATAAAATATTTATGTAAAAACTTGATAACTAATTGAGATCCTAAAGTGACAGGGAAAATTAACAAGACTAACAAGTCAGATTTTTCTTCCTTAATCCTTCCAAATGAATTGATGTCCAACACTATTGTGCTAGAACGGCCCGTTCTGCTTGCTGTCGTCTTTCTTTTCTTTTTTTTTTTTTTTAATTTTTTACAACTTTTTACGTCGGACCTTGTAATGTCCGACGTAAATTTACGTCAGTTTTCGCACCCCGACGTAAATTTACGTCTCCCGCTTCGACGTCAGAGCTTTTTTCGACGTTAAAACCCTAAAATAACCGACGTAAAGTACATTCTGTACTAGTGAATTACCGTGAACCCCGATATCTCCACATAAAGGGACACCATTTTCTTGATTCCCCATGTACTACTCCATATAATTATATCATATATTGCTATTCTGACAATCAGACAATGTGCACCCCTAACAAATCCCAGTAAACACCGTAGAAAGAAAAAAAAATTCCTAAAAATAAAAATCCCAAATAATATAATCACAATGTGACAGACTAGAGTAAGTAGCTGGTACTCAAGCAAATCAAAATAGATTCATCCAGCAATGGCTCCACCAAGTACACCACCAGATATCTTTGTGTTCCTCTGCAATAGCACATCAACAGCTGCAATTAAAAATTAAAAATTACATTACATCGAACCCTACTTTTCCAACATTGACATCGAACCCTTCAAAAACCTTAACAAAGCGATTTCCTAATAAATAAAGAAAAAAATAGAGATTTCTTGCGGCACAACAACCACACCGACACTAGTACACAAAGGGTCTTTAACGTCGCCTATTTTGAGCCTTTTACGTCGGAAATGAATCCGACGTTAATACGGGAGACGTAAATTTACGTCGCCTCTGAAACATGACGTAAATTTACGTCGAAGATTCTCCCATACCGACGTAAAAAGGGACAAAAAACATGCCACAAATTTACGTCGGACAAGGCCATGTCCGACGTAAATTGTGGGAGTTTTTTTTTTAAAACGTTTATAAATTTTTGATATACCCAACACCTGCATATAAATATAGTCCAAAATACCAAATCTAAACCAGGCAGCCCAGAATAGAAATTCAAATTATATTTCAAAATTGAATGACAAAAAGAAAATAATATATAAATCTTAAAAAACATAAATTATGACAATGTAAATCCTATTATCCTAAAAAAGCTATAAAACATATGTTTGTCAATGCTATCTAACTAACTAAACTAACTAACTATCAAACTATAAACATAATATCTAACTAACTAAACTTAGAAAAAAAGTTGCCCATTGTTCTCTTATCTTGAGCAACTCATCTTCGGGCAATGGAGATGGATCTTGAAAGACCTGAAACATTAATTTAAGTGTCATTAATATGCAATGTTAATTATCCTAAAGGTAAATATAGTTAAATAAATTTTGATATGAATTACCTGCGCCCAAGAATCAATAATACCCGCATAAACTATGGATCTCATCCAATACATGATGTAATAGCCACTTTCAAACGAGTCTTGTTGCTTATTACACTAAAATGAGAA